TTATGTTAAAGTTATGCTACAATTATTTTAAAGTAAAGTTAAACTTAAGTTAATGTTATGTTAAAGTAAAAGTGATGTTCAAGATAAGTTGAAATTCAATTAAAGATAAGATAAATTAAAGTTATTATTAAGTTAAAATTATGTTAAGTTAAAGTTTATTCAATCTAAAGTATAAGTTATGTTAAAAATCAAGTTATAACTTTATGATAATGTTAAGTAAATAATTAACTCAATATTAAAGTTATGTTAAAGTCAAGCTAAAATTAAGTGAAAGTTGAAATTTAGATAAGAGCATGTTAAAATAAAGTAAAAGTTAAGTGAAAGTTATGTTATAGGTAAAGTTTAGTTATAATTAAGTTAAAATTATGTTAAAGTAAAGTTAAACTTAAGCTTAAGTTAGTTTAAAGTAAAGTTAAAGTCATGTTAGAGATAAAGTTTTGTTATAGTTAGGTTAAAGTTATGTTATAGTTAAATTAAATTCAAGGTTATGTTAAAGATTTGTTAAAGTTAAGATAAAGTTAAGTTATAGTTAAAGTTATGTTAAAGTAATATAAGTTAAAGTTGATTTGAAGGTTAGTTAAAGTTATGTTAATGTTATGTTAATGTTATGTAAATGTTAATTTAATGTTATGTTAAAGATAATAAATTAAATTTATGTTAAATTTGGTTTAAATTTTAAAGTTTTGCTAAAATTATGTTCAAGTAAAGTTAAAATTAAGTTAAAGTTAACTTAAAGTTAAGTTAAAGTTAAGTTAAAGTTAAGTTAAAGTTAAGTTAAAGTTAAGTTAAAGTTAAGTTAAAGTTAAGTTAAAGTTAAGTTAAAGTTAAGTTAAAGTTAAGTTAAAGTTAAGTTAAAGTTAAGTTAAAGTTAAGTTAAAGTTAAGTTAAAGTTAAGTTAAAGTTAAGTTAAAGTTAAGTTAAAGTTAAGTTAAAGTTAAGTTAAGGTTAAGTTAAAGTTAAGTTAAAGTTAAGTTAAAGTTAAGTTAAAGTTAAGTTAAAGTTAAGTTAAAGTTAAGTTAAAGTTAAGTTAAAGTTAAGTTAAAGTTAAGTTAAAGTTAAGTTAAAGTTAAGTTAAAGTTAAGTTAAAGTTAAGTTAAAGTTAAGTTAAAGTTAAGTTAAAGTTAAGTTAAAGTTAAGTTAAAGTTAAGTTAAAGTTAAGTTAAAGTAAAGTTAAAGTAAAGTTAAAGTTAAGTTAAAGTTAAGTTAAAGTTAAGTTAAAGTTAAGTTAAGTTAAGTTAAAGTTAAGTTAAAGTTAAGTTAAAGTTAAGTTAAAGTTAAGTTAAAGTTAAGTTAAAGTTAAGTTAAAGTTAAGTTAAAGTTAAGTTAAAGTATTTTAAACATAAGTTAAAGTTATGTTTTTGGTAAGTTAAAGTTAAGCATGATGGGTGTTATAATAATCAGATGTTGGCTTCTTCCCCCGGGACACCAGGAATTTGTCCGGATGTGGTCAAAGTGGTTGATGGAACTAAATTTGAGTTCCATTGAACAGATCATAGAATTCTCATGTAATTTGATGTGTCGTATCATGGGGTTAAACCTAATAAAATCTAATCAGTTACTGGCACCCGTGATAGGCCTGAACCTGAATGATAAGGCATCCCCGGGAATATCGTCTGATTTTGGGTAGTTTGTAAGTTTGTGTGTTATTATTATAGTTTTAGATATGTCAATGAAAAAAAAATCAAAAATTTTAGTTATAAGAATTATTGTTGTATGCATATACAAGATAATCTATATCTATAAAAATGAATTTCTGTCTGTCTGTTTGTCTGTCTGTCTGTCTGTCTGTCTGTCTGTCTGTCTGACCCTTATAGACTCGGAAACTACTGAACCGATTGGCGTGAAAATTTGTATACAGGGGTTTTTGGGGCCGTGGAAGGTTCTTATGATGGTTCGAGACCCCTCCCCCTTCTGTAAGGGGGGCTCCAATACAAATGAAACAGAAATTTCTGCATAACTCAAGAACTAATCAAGCAAATGGAACCAAATTAGGCATGTGGGGGCGAGTGTGGGGGTATAAGGAGATAATAATAGGGGGTAGCCCCTTATATAATAGGGGGGGAGGGGCTACGTACAATATAGCATGCTTTTTTTTAAATCGGCGCATAAACTCAAGCTAATATTGAATCCCGAGCAAGACCGGGCACATTCAGCTAGTTTTAAATAAAGTAATGTGAAGGGTTCAACCAACAATCAATACGAAACTAACGATTTTAAATTGGCTCACTACTTGACTAGCCTATTGGTCCCAAGCAAATCGATTAACGTACCCCATTCTAGTCGAAATTCTAGTACTATACAATGTTTGTTTTGATTCGTTTGACAGATAAAATGAGGGGTTAGTGGATTTTCCTATGTTTCGAGGGGTGAATCGATTAGCTTGGGACCGAAGAGAGTACCAGAGCTGAGCCAAAAAGTTGAGCACGTTATTTCGGGACCTTCTAGTTTTAGAGCTACCTCTATGGTTCAACATTATTTACTTTATATTATTAAAATTGCAAAAAGAAAGACAATGGTAGTGCACAAACTACAGCCGCCGGGTAGCGGGGGGCGGACAAAGGGTGACCAAAGCGGCTAAAACGATCAGTCTTTTGACAGGTATCGTTTTCGCCTCACGCGCTCAAATGTTGCAAATATGCGCACCCCCGAGAACAGAATGAGTACCCGGCAATGGACTGAAGCTGGCACGAGTTCTCCGAAGCGGCCGAGGGAGACTCGATGGGTCGGAAAGGTTATGGCGTCGGTTTTCGGGAATTGTCATGGCATACTCTTCGTGGACTACTTCGAAAAAGGAAAAACCATCAACAGCGAGTATTACCATAGAGGTAACTCTAAGACCAAAAGGTCCCGAATAAACGTGCTCAACTTTTTGGCTCAGCTCTGGTACTATCTTCGGTCCCAAGCTAATCAATTCACCTCTCGAAACATAGGAAAATCCACGAACCCCTCATTTTATCTGTCAAACTTTCATATCAAATCAAAACAAACATAGTGTAGTACTAGAATTTCGACTAGAATGGGGTACGTTAATCGATTTGCTTAGGACCAATAGGTTAGTCAAGTAGTGAGCCAATTTATAATCGTTAGTTTACACTGGTTGATAATATTGTCTAACCTCCTCATTTCATTGTTTTATCGTATTACTACGATAACTACGATAACACATTCGGCTAACTTATGAGAAATCCCTGGGAAAATCACAAGTCTACATGACAGCTCATTTTTGCTAGTTTACAGCAATGACACTGATTTACTAAATTTTAAAGTCTAGCCTTTTACTGGTTCATTTTCAGCAAACCAATTTGCTTGAAGAAGATATTAGAATCTGGTGTTTACAATGTTCATGGATCGATTCTGATCCTCGACGTTTCAATTTGTGTAAATTATTGAAAGCTCCTCTTTTAAAAATTTACATATTTTGATTATGTTTTGTCATTGGAATCATATTAAGTTCTTCCACAAATTTTCCTCAGGTTTCCTTGCTTCCTTCAGAATATCAAAATGACGACGTCAACGGCGAAACCACATCCGACTCAAGCAATCTATCCGCTGCCCACTCATGATCGAATTATTCGGAGGCTTTCCGTCCAACCAACAACGACGTCCGGTGCTTCTTCTTCCTCTAGCCACTACTAACTAGTTAGCACGTGCATGTCTGTGATGTGGCAAAAGAGCAGAATCACCAAACCGTAGATTCAACGTTGGTCATCGTGCGTGACTCGGAACGTGACTGGACTGCTACAATCGACTCCCGTCCACCGTGTTGTCCGTCATCATCATCATCGTCATCATCCGAAGGCCCCAGAAAAGAAGCCACACATTGACCGATCCTTCAACATTCCCTTACTTTGTTGAGGGTGATGCACATGCCATCATCATGGTAGCTTGCCGGGAAATTCCTGCAGCAATCCACAGAAATTGAGATTGACAGTTTGCCGGATCGACGCCACCTTCCGTCTGTGGTCCAGCCGGCAGCGCGCACAATCATTGACGGCTCGCAGGAAGCAATAAAAATGCTAACGATTCCAGCTGATACCGAGCTTGGTACGTGTGGGAGCTGTTCTGTGAATTGTGCGTGTGTTTGCCAAGTGGGTGGGAAAATTAGAGGGGAGTGAATTGGAAATTGCTTCCATCGTTAATGTGGATTGAATTCGTGCGTGGAAAACCTGATTGGCGGCGTCGCTGTAGACGGGTTGGTGGTCAGTTAGATGTGCTTCTGGAATTTGTGTTCAGAAAGTTGGGAGTGTAGAAATTTGGCTTTAAGAAATCATGCCAACTAACTACAATTCCCTCCTTTGGTTGAACGTAATGCCCAATAGGCAAAACATTCAATACTAATTCTTTCGTCTCTGTAGCGAGCGAGTTCTCAACTAAGGCTGTGTTCCACGTGTTTCATTTGGTGGATTTTCACTTAAATTTGACAGATGGAAAAATTTAAAATAAACCTGCTATTGTACCAAAATTATTTATGACAGACCAGGAATCAATGTTGACATCCACATACAAGTTGATACTCTATGCCTAGGGAAGTCGAGATGGAAATTTTCTCAGGTTTGGTAATACCGTGCCTTTACTGACTAGGCCATCTGAGGTCCCTAAAAAAACGATGATCCTGACGGCCACGAAGCATCCCGTGTGTGGAATTAGGCAAACAGCAGGGAGTGCCAATTTCGCAGTCACGTTTCTTCTGGCTCGAAAGCAAACCTCTCGGCTCTTGTTCGGAAATCGGACTGACTCGAACACATCCACACGTAAATTCCTAACAAGACAGATCTTCCCCTCGAGGAGAATCCTCCAATCGTCTATCATTCATCGATGGCTGCTTCTTAGCTCTCTGCAAGTAGTGCTACAAATTGCACACGGCTTTCGCCAATCTGTGCCCCGCTTTTTTCCCAAGTTGTTTTAGACCGACACGTTCTTGGAGGAGATTCCCCAAAAATATGATCGTCGCCGTTTTGCTGAAAAGGAGAAAAAAAGGATCACAACACCAAACTACTCACCTTAATAACAGTCACGTTTTCCTGAAGGCCGGTCAAAAATCGGGTGCGGGTAGGAATTTGGTCGTCGTCCAGATGTTTGGAGGGATGCATGTGGAAGAAAGATGTAGAACAGAGATACAAAGTTGGAATCATTTTTTTTTTGTTGGCTACCCGGAGGTAAACACAAGCTCAATGTTTGAGTTACTGGAGCTAAGAGGGGCAGTGAGGGGGAGCGAGATGGAGCTGTATTCCTTTCCCATATGAATGATTTATGAGCATCCGAAAGAACAGGTTTCATACGGCTGACTGGCCGGAGAGAATCTGACTCCATTTGGGCAGCTGTACAACGTTATTGTTATTATTATTTTGATATATGGCGAAGGCAGTGTCCCAATATTTCGATTCATGGGCGGATGTAGGACTGGTCAAACGCCCTGATCAACATTTAACAGGCATTATACAACGATTCTATTTGTTGAGGCAGTTAATTTGTAAACTAAGGATTTTATTTTTGGTGAACTTTATGTGTAGATTTGAATTGCGCTGAATTTGAGAGGGACCATAGTCGCAGCTTTATTTACACCGATGAATTTTAATTCTTAACAAGTAGGGGAATTTACGTATTCTCGGCAACCTAAGCAGCGACCTTTTTTCTATAGCCTTTTTCTCTAAAGCGAACCCCACACGTATCAATATATTGACACGAAGGGGAATTATTGACAATAATATTGATGATGTGAGTGCAGAAATATTGTCAATACCGATGTATTGACGTCAATATTGAATGTATTGACAATACGATTATTGTCAATAAAACTAATCGTGTAGGGTTCACTTAAGGAACGCACACATATGCAGTATTGGTTTGTTTACAATCTTTTGCTGCCAGCTGCTCTAACAATTTCAGTCGAAAGAATTGTCAAAAACTGTTTTGAAACGCTTTTACAAAGCTCCAATCTTCTCAAGTGAGAGCGAGTATTGTCGGCAACCAGTTTTTCTTCGGCAACCGTTCCATTTGAACTGCATGTAAATCTGCTGTTCTATTATCGGCAACTCGAAATCAACTACAATTTGTAGTGCGTGTGTTGCATTTCAAGAAAACCTTGCTAGATTGCTTTTTCTCAGTGGTAAAAATAGTCAAATTGAAGCGAAGTGTTTTCGTAAGAAAATCCAGTGAAAATAGTGTTTCAATTTGTGTTGCCGAAAATAGTCTGTCATGCCGAAGCCGTCATTTCCCCTACTTTATCAATTTTCAATAGATCACTATTGAAAATTACACAAATGTCCAACTGTTGCAATGGTGATCAAAATTATCACCGATTGCCTGCAAAAGCGCTTGTCCTAGCACAGATTTCAAAATTGAATTCCATCCGGTATCGCCAAACGGTGTTCATTCAATTACCGTGTGTGGTGGTGTCCGGTCGGTCGTCATCAGCAGCAGCAGTCCTTTCGGCGCGTGGCGTTGAACATTGTTCTCCAGTACACAACGAAAGGATGCCCACAAGTAGCGAGCTGAAGCCCACACGAGCGTCCATTCAGCGAAGAAGTCTCACCGCTACTGATCGGATTCAGTAGCTCTTCGTGAGTCACTGTGGGCCATCTATGCCAAGCACGTCACCCTCGTTCCAAACAACATACAGCTCACCAGCCTCATCCGCGTTGAACACTCTAATAGCTTGCTGCCAGCCACATCACCCCTAAAGCTCTTTGATAATGTAACCAGCAACCAAACGTTTGTGGTCAAATGTGTAACAGTATTGAAGTGGTACATAAAAATTCTCGCAATGACCGAATACCACATGACCTTGTCAATTAACCAGAAACACTTTGAATCAAGTTAAGATTTTCTCCAGGACGTTAGAAAGAGCAAAAAATCTCAAATTTATATGATTGATCGCGAATGGAAAATTTTAGCACAAAATTCCTCAAATAAATTTTCGCTTTTTTATTATTTATTGAATAAACCCAAAATCCGCGCGTTTTGTGCACGAAAATGCGAAGCTTTGTCATAAGAAAACGAGACGTTTCCGTGTTGGGATAAAGTGCTTTCCCTAACGCAGCCGCCGAATATTGATACTGAGCTCGTAATCCTACGTCAAATCTACGGTCGTTTTTTTGAAACAACCTCTTACTTTTTTTTAAAGCAACAATCGATTATTAGCAGTGGTGCCAGAATTGATTAAAACAATTGCTTATCAAATGGTGAGTGACAATCTCCGGTCCTCGCAAGTTCCTACCTCACGCCTCCACGAGTCATATGATTATTATTATTATTTAACTTTATTAATGAGGCTTTCAGCCTTGGGCTGGTTCGCCTCCAATAGAGTCATATGATCACAAAAGACTGCCAGCTGAAACATGGACACAGCTGGTTGGTGTAGCCAGGGTTGTTGCCAATTCGTCTGTTCACCATGGAGGTGCGACTCAAACAGCGTCTAACTGAATAAGAAATGCTCTTCCCCGGAAGCTCCACTTAAGATGGCAGCCCCATCACGGCGGATAGGAGACCTGAGGCTAACCACCTACTGTCTCTGAAACCTTTATAATTGTTCAAGAAACCAACAGAGAAAGACATCGAACTGATTTAACGACAACGACTTTTAGCGCAAAACAACGGAAACGAATTGGATCATGGAATGTATTGACGTAAGCACAGCAGGGTAGACTGGCGCAACACATGAAGCTAGAAATCATGGGACTGAGTGAAATTCGTTGGCCAAACTTTGGAGAACACAAACTGCCGTCGGGACAGGTACTACTATACTCTGGTATTCGAGGTGAAAACGATCCCCGCCATCGTGGAGTTGGTCTCCTACTTAGCGTCCAGGCAAGTGCTGCGCTCATCAAGTGGGAGCCTGTTAATGAGAGGATAATCGTTGCCAGATTTAGAACACGCGTTCGTAACCTTACCATAATCCAATGTTATGCGCCAACCGACGCTGCCAAGCTACAGGACAAGGAGAATTTTTACATTCAACTGAATGCCGTCGTGGATAAGGTTCCAAAGGGTGACATCAAGATCTACACTGGCGACTTCAATGCAAAGATCGGCTCCGACAACACGGACTATGAGCGTGTCATGGGACGCCAGCTGTGAGCTGTTTGCATAATTTTGTGGCAATAATGACATGGTGCTCGGGGGTTCGCTCTTCCCCAATCGGCCAGTGCACAAAGTCACGTCGGTTTCCCGTGATGGACATACCGAAAATCAGATCGACCACATCAGCATCAGCCAAAAATGGAGACGGTGCCTTCTTGATGTCCGGAATAAACGCAGCGCTGACATCGCGTGTGACCATCACCTTCTAATCGGCCAGATCCGCCTATGCATGGCGCGGATTCAGCGACGGGTGGATTTGAAGATCCAGCGGTAAAAAGGTTTTTCGTTGAAGAACTTGAGACTCGAGCTGCGGACATTCCAGAAGGTGGCAGCGTAGAAGAACAATGGACGGCCATCAAGAATGCCTGCGAGAACAACCTGGGTGAACTGCGCACCCAGAAGAAATAGTGGATCACTGATGAAACCTGGTGGAAGATTGAGGAGCGTAGAGCACTCTTGCAGACGGGACAAGCGAGCGTGGGTGAACTCCCTGGGCGACGAAGGGGAGAAAACCGCAAACACTGGCGATATACGCCTCCTCTACGATATCTCACGACGCCTGAGTGGAGCAAGGATGAACCCCAGGATGCCAGTGAAGGACACGATTGGACAATTGCTTACCGACCCCACTGACCAGCTGAAACGCTGGTTTAAGCACTTCGAACAACCTCTTCAAGTTTCAACGGCCAACCAGCCATCAACATTTCGGCATGATCCGCCTAGGGTGCGGCACATCACTCGCGTCAATTCCGAGGCCCCATCACTGCAGGATATTGAAGCAGCTATCCGAAACATGAAATCCAACAAGGCTTCAGGGGTCAATCTCATATCAGCAGAGATGCTAAAAGCTGACCCCATGCTATCATGACTGGATGCAGGGCGTCTTTTTGAAGGTCTCAAAGAAGGGGGATCTAACTGAGTGCGACAATTAGCGAGGCATCATGTTACTGTGTATTGTTTTCAAAGTTCTGTGCAAAGTTATCCTGAATCGGAAACAGGAGGAGATCGACGCGACTCTCCAGCAGCAGCAGGCAGCATTACGTGCCGGAAGATCTTGTGTGAACCATATTGTCACGCTTCACATAATCCTGGAGCAGCTCAATGACGCAAGGGAGTCCCGGATAAAATCGTCAATCGCATCGAAGCGCAGTATGAGGCATTCACGTGCAGAGTTCTGCATAGCGGAGCCTTGTCTGACCCTATCCGGGTAGTCGCTGGTGTGAGAAAAGGATGTATACTATCACCGCTACTGTTCCTCATCGTAATCGACGAGATCATGGTGGGTGCAATTGACCGTGGCTGATTCGGCGCTCTGATATGCAAAGTAAGCTCAATGACCTAGCCCAACGCTCCTCTGCAGTTGGTCTCACCATCAACGTCAACAAGACTAAAGCGTTGGATGTCAACACGGGTAACCCTTCCAAATTTACGGTAGCGGGGCAAGCAGTGGAGAAGGTCGAAAGTTTCCAATGTCTTGGCAGCCAAATAGCGTTGGACGGCGGGACCAAGAGCGACATAGGTGCACGAGTCAAGGGGTGCTTTGCGAGTTTACGAAGCGTATGGAAATCATACCAGATAAGTCAACGCACCAAAATCCGAATTTTCAACTCGAACGTGAAATCTGTGTTGTTCTACGCCAGCGAGACGTGGTGTGTATCAAGCTGCAGGTCTTCATCAACCGATGCCTGCGGTATATAATTTGTGCCTGGTGGCCTCAGAACCGGATCTCGAATGCCGAGCTCCATTGTCGATGTCATCAGAAGCCGATAGCAACAGAAATTCGAGAGCGAAAGTGAAGGTGCGCTGAATTGGAATCCAGCAGGACATCGAAGCAGAAGCAGAACCAAGGGGCTCATGGTGGCGGCCCTTTGCACCTCCGATGGTGTACAGGAAGAATGTGTTACTCTTTGCTCTTATTGGCAAACGGCAGGCAATCAGCCGA